AAGGAACACCTGAGGATATTTACAGCAAATGCTCAGCAAGGTTCTGAACATCTGAGGGGCCTTGACGTTTTCCTATTTTTCCCAACAACCACTACCCCCACCATCCTAGTTTAAGACATTGTATATATGGCCACGGCCTCCTAGCTGGTCCTTCTGTTCCACCCTTGCTTTTTGCCATAGAGAAGCCAAAGTCATCTTCTTAAAAAGCATTAGATATTTTTACACCCCAGCTTAAAATGCTCCAGTGAATTCTACAGGCACTTGGAGCAAAACCTAAGCACATTCCCACTGTCTACCAGGCTGCACACGACCTGGAAGCCACTGGCTCCCTGACCGGCTCGCCTCTCCCTCCCCTCCACACCCAGCCACCCAGCCACCCAGCCACGGGGGTCACCGCATCTTCCCATCAAGTTGAGCCCATTAGCATTTTCTGGCCTTCATGTCTGCTTTTCCCTCTGTCTGGAATGCTTTGTTCCCTTGCATCCATATGGAAATACACAGAAAAATGGCCCCCAAAGTGTCCCTTTCCTAATTCCTGGGAATATAATGAGAGTCACCTGGATTATTCAGGTGGCCCTGATGTAATCACATGAGCCTACAAGAGCAGAAGAGGAAGGTAAAAGAAGTCGGAGAGATTCGAAGCTCTGGAAGGATTCCCGTACCTTTGCAGGCTTGAAGATGAGAGGCCATGTGCAAAGTGCAAATGAATTCTGCCAGCACCTGTGAGCTGGGAAGAGGAGGCTGAGCCCTAGGTGAGAACCACAGACCTGGCCAACACCTTGATTTTAGGCCAGTGAGACTCTGAGCAGAAAATGCAGCCATGTTGTGCTGAGCTACTGACTACACAACTGGGAGACAATACAAGTGGGTCGCATTAGCTGATCATTGTGTGGTTGGTCATTCATTACAGCAGGGAGCGTCTTGTTTCTTTCTGTATCCCCATCACCTACATCAGTGTGTAGCTCAGAGTAGTTGCTCAGTAAATTTTTGTTGGATGAATGAAGGACTACATGAATGACTTCTTGGTACATTTTACAAGTAGTCTGAGACTTAGAGAAGGAAAATGTCATCCGGGGGCACATCTGAAAGCTGCTGATCCAGCCAGACTAGCACCCAGAGCTCTGACACCCAGTCCTGATTCATCCCTTGGGCTCATTATGCCCTTTCTGGTATCATCAGGTTTTCTAATAACTTTACTTTTTTATTTAAAGTTAAGGCTGTGGAGATTTAGCTGAAAATGTAAGGGGCAGTGCTTCATTTCATTTATTTATTCCTTCAACAAATATTTATTTGAGCACCTATTTTGAGCCAAGCACTGTCCGAGTGTGTGGTTTTGGCTGGGCTTTTCTCCTCTCTGAAGATGAGGTGTTTGAGTAGAGATGGGAGGGAAATGTGGCTTTAGCCTTGGATGGGAGAAGAACATCCCGGGCAGAGGAAGCACGTGCAAAGGCCCTGAGGCAGTAATGCTCTTGGCATCTTCCAGGGATGCAGTGAGACCAGTATGGCTGGGTCAGAGTGAGAGAAGGGGACAACATGATATTAGATCAGAGGACCACCGGTGGAGCAGATCCTGCAGCATGTGCAGACATGGTGAAGCCTTGAGGTGAGAGTCATCGGAGGGTTTTAAGTAGAGGAGCGGCATGATCTGGTTTAGATTTTAACAGAAGCCATCTGGCTGCCATGCGAGAATGGACTGTAGGGATCAAGGAAAGAATCTGGGGGACCAGTTAGGAGCCTATTTCAGTTTTCCAGGCAAGAGGCAATATTAGTTTATCCTGAGTCTTCTCAGTCTTGACACATTCGGGGCTGTATAAGTCTCTGTTGTGGGGACTGTCCTGGACATTATAGGATGTTTAGCAGCGTCCTTGGCCTCCACCCACTAAAAGCCAGCAGCACCCCCAGCCTAGCTGTAACAATCAAAACTTGATTCAGCCCCCATTGAGAACTACAACCCTAGGTGAACTCTTATTGTTTCCAGTTACATCTCACCCAGGTAAGCCAGTTTCCTCTCTCTCTCTGCAGGTGCCCTCTCTCCTGAGATTTTGGGACTGTTGGTTGCTGTGAAATCTCAGCCTACCATTGGGGTACATGAAAAGTCATGAACTTGTTGCTTGTCTGGTTTTGCCCTTTATAAGGTTGGGATCTATGTTATTTTCAGCTTTCGATAACTGAACAGAACTAGAAGAGGATCTTCCCACTTTAACAAGGAGAAAAATATTCCCAGAAGCCCCAGCTGCCCAGCCCTTACAGCTCCTTGGCCAGAGTGGGCCAATGCCCACCATGGGATTGTCATGATTGGCAGGGTTGCTTGGTCCCCTTGAGCTGGGCACATTGCTGCCCAAACAGGTCCAATTTGTATTAGCAAAGAAGAGGTGAGTGACCAGCAGCCTCTGCCACAAACTCTCTGTTGTGCTCACTTGTGTCTATTCCATCTCCTGGACTCTAAGTCCCCCAGAGCAGGTGACATATCCTATGTATAACTCCTGTGTTTGCTATGACCTGATATGTAACTTAGTAATATCTGTCAGATGAATGAATCTGTAGCAGGAGTGTCATCAGTGATGTCCAAGGCTGCTTCGTGTTCTGATAACCCAGCTGGTGGGGACAGAGCCCAGCTTAGTTAGAACCTTGGTCCTGGGGCTGCTCTGCTCTGCTTTTATTAATTCACTGCCACCACTAATCAGTGCATGATTGGTTTTTCTAGAAGGGGATTATAAAACCAGGTGTGCGATTCCAGAGAGAGCCCTAAATTGAATTGCACTTGTGGTCAAATGGTCCCTGCTTTTCCCCTCTAGGAAACTTTTGTCCACCAAAGATCCACGAGCTCTACCTTGTCCACGGAGATCTGTGGCTGTGCTGCCCGGGGCCATGGGACTCACTTTAGTACTGTTGCACGTATAGAAACGCTGCTCGTGTGCCTGGGTCTCATCACTCGGTCAAATTGGTGTGCTTAATCCTCTTTGCCTACTTATCCAAAAGAGAACTATTGGTGGTTAATAAGGAAAACAGACAAATTTTTATGCTATCTATGTTTTCAGGACAGTGTATTAACTGCCTTGGCCCTACTACCTTTCACCAGGGAGAATTTAAAGTAACGTTCCATTGTTACTCTCAGAGGTAGGTCACCCATAAAATAGCTCGAGGATGACTGCAG